TCTAATACTCCAACAACTTGAGACTGCAATACTTCTAAATTCTGTAATTCAGATTTTTGGCCATATAATCACTGGTAATTTTGATTAATTGCAGACAAAAGAATTCGTAACTTATTCTTGAAAGACCTAAATACAGAATTCCTTCTGAAATTGATTTTTAATGCTTGTCGTGGTCAGATTGCTGAATCTATAGAGGATTTTTCGGTCAAATGCTGTCGCCGTGAAAAATGCGGATAGTAATGCTCTAGTTACATGGAAACGTAACATCTTTAAAATTATTTGATTCACGTATTAATTTTTATCGTGGAAATGAACATTTTTGCCACCTAAAACAAGACTTACTTTAAGACATCTGAAGAAAGATATTCTAGCTTTTCATTCAAAATTTGTTTTGGTGCCAGCGGACAAGGCGGCTAATAATATTATAATTGTATGACGAATCCATTACATTAACGTTTTGCATAAGGAACTTAATAGTACTAATGCGTATTCTAAAACCTCTGCCTCCGAAAAGACATTGTAAACAATCATATTACTAATATTTCAAATCTTAAGTACAAATTAATGAAAAAGAACTTAAACTTCCTATTATGTATTGGATTCCTAAATTACATAAAAAACCTTACAAAGCTAGATTCATGCTAATTCTACTCTTGCACTACAAGTAAACTTTCTATTTTATTGACGTCTTGTTTGACTGCCATTAAAACACATGTAATTAGATATTGTGATAAAGTCTATGAAAACACAGGCAAACATCTCTTTTGGTCAATTAAAAATTCTGGTGAAATCTTGGATAAATTCAAAATTTAAGAACTTTCAAGCTTCAACTGTCAGTACATACGATTTTTCTACACTTTATACAACTTTGCCACATAAATTAATCAATGATAAACTAATTTCCCTAATTCAGAAAACTTTTGCACGGGAAAACGTTACCTTTCTAGCATGTAATTCTAACAAAGCTTTTTTTACTAACGGTATTGTAAAACATTATACTATGTGGACCTGTGACGAAGTTTGTAGAGCACTCTCTTTTCTTTTAGACAACATTTATGTCAGGTTTGGTAATACCCTATTTAAACAGATCATAGGAATTCCTATGGGTACTAATTGTGCACCCCTGGTCGCCGATTTGTTTTTGTACTGCTATGAAAGAGACTTTATGTTGAGTCTCTCTGAAGAGAAACAACAAGATGTTATAGTCGCATTTAATAATACTTCCAGATACCTTGATGATATTTTTAATTTAGATAATCCTTATTTTGATCAAATGGTGTCTGACATTTATCCGCATGAACTACAACTTAATAAAACGAACTCTTCAAATTTTAGTACATCATTTTTGGATCTTCATATTACTATCAACAACAATTCTATTCACACGAAAATCTATGATAAAAGAGATGACTTTGACTTTTGTATAGTTAATTATCCACATTTAGATGGAGACGTTCCCCATGCAACATCTTACGGGGTTTACCCTTTTACAGTTGGACACTACGCTTTCCTCTTTTGATTGCATCTGACGGACCAAGTGGGAGACTCTATGATGGATAGTTCGTAAAGCCCTTTGGGACTGAATTGTCTTAATGTTCGTCTTCTGCCTTGCTTCGTCGGGCCCTTGTAGGTGATTTTCTTGTTGCTCTGTCTTCCTTTAGGACATTGAGTACTTTTGTTATGGTCATTGGGTTTACTTTTATATGTTTCTACATGATCATTTTAGTGTTTTACTTATTTAACCTTTTGTAACCATGACAACTGTTAGAATTTCACTTGGCGGGGATTCATTTTATTTACACTGTCTCGTTTATAGGAACATGGTGGGGCTAAGAGCGAGGTTTGGTGCACCATTAACCGGTTTAAACTCCCAGCAGTCATTATTATGCTGCTGACCGTTCCAAGGCGGCGCCCCACTGTGTTCCTCAGATGTATGTCTTATGTTGTTTCATACTGTTTTGGTGACACTTTTGCTTGTGTCCCTTGTTGTTTTCTCGTCTACGGTAAGTATCTTCCCCATTGCCTCTAGTTTTTATTTCTTTGATTACTCCCCACCCCCTCCTCCCCCCGGTCTCCTGTCCCCTTCCCCTTTGTGGGCCTATTTTTATTTTCTTTAAATTCCTAATCAGTTACAAATTAATTATCATTTAATGATTAACCTGTCCGTGCTCTGTCTTTGCCCTGTCCTGTTTTTGTTTGGGGTCCCCCTGGGCTCCTTGCCATTGGTTCTTGTTGCTGGGTCATGTGGGGGTTGCGTTCATTGAACGCCGCCTTTCCTTGTTGATTTTGTTTATCATATTTTATGTTTCCCAGTTAATTAGATTCGCTAGAGCTTGTAGCAACGTAAAGGATTTCAACGAGCGGAATATTTTTATTACCAGCAAGCTTCTAAAACAGGGCTACCGCTATCATAAATTACGGAAATATTTTACTAAATTTTACAATCGTAACTTTGATTTAATTTCCAAATTCAATAGTGATTTAAAAACTCTTCTGCGACAAGGGATTAGCCAGCCTGGTTTTTATGGCGATGTGATTTACAAACTTCGTAAGATTTTGGGTCATGGTAATTTTTCTGCTGTTTTTACTAAAATCATTAAACGTTTTATTAAAAGAGGTTATGACCCTACTATTTTTAGACATACTGCATGTCTAGTGTTCAACCCTTTTACAGTTGGACACTACGCTTTCCTCTTTTGATTGCATCTGACGGACCAAGTGGGAGACTCTATGATGGATAGTTCGTAAAGCCCTTTGGGACTGAATTGTCTTAATGTTCGTCTTCTGTCTTGCTTCGTCGGGCCCTTGTAGGTGATTTTCTTGTTGCTCTGTCTTCCTTTAGGACATTGAGTACTTTTGTTATGGTCATTGGGTTGGTTTACTTTTATATGTTTCTACATGATCATTTTAGTGTTTTACTTATTTAACCTTTTGTAACCATGACAACTGTTAGAATTTCACTTGGCGGGGATTCATTTTTTTACACTGTCTCGTTTATAGGGAACATGGTGGGGCTAAGAGCGAGGTTTGGTGCACCATTAACCGGTTTAAACTCCCCAGCAGTCATTATTATGCTGCTGACCGTTCCAAGGCGGCGCCCCACTGTGTTCCTCAGATGTATGTCTTATGTTGTTTCATACTGTTTTGGTGACACTTTTGCTTGTGTCCCTTGTTGTTTTCTCGTCTACGGTAAGTATCTTCCCCATTGCCTCTAGTTTTTATTTCTTTGATTACTCCCCACCCCCTCCCCCCCGGTCTCCTGTCCCCTTCCCCCTTGTGGGCCTATTTTTATTTTCTTTGAATTCCTAATCAGTTACAAGTTAATTATCATTTAATGATTAACTTGTCCGTGCTCTGTCTTTGCCCTGTCCTGTTTTTGTTTGGGGTCCCCCTGGGCTCCTTGCCATTGGCTCTTGTTGCTGGGTCATGTGGGGGTTGCGTTCATTGAACGCCGCCTTTCCTTGTTGATCTTGTTTATCATATTTTTTAAAAAGTTTTTATTATACACATTTAAGAAAAGTCAATGACTCTGGCGAGGCCAATTTAGACACATATAATTGGCTATAATTTGAACATTTTTGTCTAGAGTAGCATAATATAATGCTACACACAATATCTAAGCTCTGGACGTTGTACTTTCAGAGAAGAAGATTTTATAAGATTTCATTTTACAAATAAGCTATTAGCCCTTCTAACCCAGATGTTCAATGGAGAAGAGCCATTTGAACAGTTTTACTAGAGCGTAATGCTTTTGACATCCCAGGAATATTTCATCAAATTTGGCCCGGTCGTTTCTAAGAATTCGAAGAAGTCGTTTGAATAAAACGTTGACGACGGATGAACGGACGCACGATATATGCTGGACAAATTGTGAAAACAAAAGCTCACCTTGAGCACTTTGTGCTCAGCTGACCTATAAAAAAACAATTTTCAATGTCACTATAAACGTATTGTAGAATCTATATTAGTTAAAGTAGTTTTCGCAAGTAGGTGCCGATATTGATACGTTCTGTGAGATCATATTCCGTTATATAAAGTTAAATCCAACGGTAAAGTGGGTTAATGCTGTTTCACCTGAATTGAAAGGTCAACAGACACAACCGCTAGCTTGACCTTTTATTTGAACTTTTCTACAGTTAAATTATTTGAATGAGAGAAATTTGAGCGGTTCATGAACAAGTTAGACGTCTTCTTTGAACAACGCCACGTAAAAACTAGCTGCCTTATTGCCATCGAAATGGTTGTTGATATTGTAGGCAATAAAAGTCGCCACATTATGCACAATATGTAAGAAACCGATTCCACGATCATGCTTCTTATGTATGTAAACTCTTAGCATTGGGAAGACCTATACGCAAGGGGGTGAATATGAGATATAAAATTGTTATTCTATTTAAAAAAATCAAATGCTTTGTTTATTAAAATAACTTGTAAAACGACTATATAAAATATGAAAAACAAGTTAAATAAGGAAGGTTGGCGAATAATGAGTCATACGAATATATTATTTCAAAACAATCTTAGACACAATCTGTTTGTATAAAGCTTTACATAGTCCAAGTATGCTAAGAAGGAAGAACATTAACCAAACGCTTCTAAACAGAAACACCATAACTAAACAGTGTCTCTTTCACATTTTGGTTATCTGTTCAAATGAGAGCTCTCGGTCAAAGCAAAGCTGAAAAAAAAGGTAAGCGCATTTCCTAAAAAATATTCGTTTTTAAAAATATGCTTGTTTTCAAATATCGAATAATGTTATGCCATGTAGAACATTTTTCTCATCATTTTGAATGCAGTTTCAATACAAAATATCCCAAACTTGCGCTGTATAGTAGGGGTGAAAAAAAGTGGGGAAAAATCGAAATCCTATGGTTTTATCATGATACATTTCTTACGATGCATAAATTTAAGCTGTGTAAGTTTTAGAATATATAATACATGCTTGTCAAAATGTATGTGAATCTTTACTATATTATCACGACATCACTAAAAATAGTGGCTTTCTTATCTAATGGTTCAATTATGATGAACCCATGTCATTATTCTATGTATTAAATATTTTAAAAGTGGAACTTTTTCACATTGCGCCTGAACTAAGAGATATGAATGCTTCAATATTGATCGTTGCTTTAACTTGCGGTAAGTAATTTATGATTTACCATCCTATTGTTTTTGTTGCCTAAGGTGAAAGTGTCGGTCAATACAGACAAAATATGAAAAGAGTACTTGTAAAATCGCAAAACGTAATTTTGAAAGGGATTATGTTAAACGCTTGATTCGCTAAGTAATTTGTTTATCCATTACATCTGCGGTGAAGTAAAACATATAGAAGAGGAGCGTCGTATATGGGACGCAGCTCCTAATACTTATGTTTACTGTACTAAGACTATTATAAAATATAAGAGAAACTGAACTTCTGAGGCTAAATTGTTATGAAAGAAATGAATATAGTGCTGCGAGCATAGTAAAAAGATAATTTATTGAAACTGAAGTGTTGAGTTTTATTTGTGTGTCGCCTTATCATAATTATTTTATTCTATTGTTAATGATATTATGATACTTTAATCAATATATGTAGTAATTTGCTTCATTTTTCAGTTGCGTACGTGTATGGTGAGAACTGTACCAGTTCTGCACAGGAATGTACGAGTTTTACATGTTCTCCAAACTTCCATAAAGAATGTGTTAACATGGTGTGCACGTGTAATCGTAAGAAATACATATTATTTTTACGATAAAAATACATAACATTTATACTGATTAAAAGTACGACGTAAAATATTACCAAAGATTCGTCTTTAGCTATTTATCATTATACATGTATCAACAGGAAACAAACTATTTTGAGCGCACGTATAGCTTTAAATATTTGAGATAACGGTATTTTTCGTAATACACTGCGTAGTGTTTTACAAGATTAAACAGTTTTACTTTTTTGAATCCTTTACATGCACAAAATGTTGAAAATCTACCACAATGGTGATTAATGCAATGAAGTTTTATTTCATTACAAAACACTTTTGAAAGATGGAGCATATATCGTGTGTATTTCTGTATACTATGATAAGTTAACGACATATATACCACAGATTATAACCTGTATTGACATGTTAAACACCTCTGATGAGTGAAACTCATTTTTTAATGAAATAATTTCTGATTTTTTTTAATTTCAGCAAATCAAGCCGTAACTTGTTTCTCTCAATCTGATTGTACGAACAGTGATCAACTACCAAATTGTAACAGAAATTGGCATTGCGTGGACAACAGATGCAGATGTTATTAACATTGATATAATCGAGATACTAATGTCAATTTGGCAAATTAACAATAATA